ATGTGGACTGCGCCACGGGGACCTTCGGTGGAGCTCCCTATGGGGCCACGAAACGTGTGAGGGATGTGCCGGAATGGGTGTGCGGGACGCATGCGGGCACACCCACTGAGACCTTCGGTGGAGCTCCCTATGGGGCCACGAAACGTGTGAGGGGTGGGACGGGGTGTGCGGGACGCATGCGGGCACACCCACTGGGACCTTCGGTGGAGCCCCCTATGGGGCCACGAAACGTGTGAGGGTGTGCCGAAATGGGTGTGCGGGACGCATGCGGGCACACCCACTGGGACCTTCGGTGGAGCTCCCTATGGGGCCACGAAACGTGTGAGGGGTGTGCCGAAATGGGTGTGCGGGACGCATGCGGGCACACCCACTGGGACCTTCGGTGGAGCTCCCTATGGGGCCACGAAACGTGTGAGGGGTGTGCCGAAATGGGTGTGCGGGACGCATGCGGGCACACCCACTGGGACCTTCGGTGGAGTTCCCTATGGGGCCACGAATAGTGTGAAGGGTGTGCCAAAATGGGTGTGCGGGACGCATGCGGGCACACCCACTGGGACCTTCGGTGGAGCTCCCTATGGGGCCACGAAGCGTGTGAGGGGTGTGCCGAAATGGGTGTGCGGGACGCATGCGGGCACACCACTGGGACCTTCGGTGGAGCTCCCTATGGGGCCACGAAACGTGTGAGGGGTGTGCCGAAATGGGTGTGCGGGACGCATGCGGGCACACCCACTGGGACCTTCGGTGGAGCTCCCTATGGGGCCACGAAACGTGTGAAGGGTGTGCCGAAATGGGTGTGCGGGACGCATGCGGGCACACCCACTGGGACCTTCGGTGGTGGAGCTCCCTATGGGGCCACGAAACGTGTGAGGGGTGTGCCGAAATGGGTGTGCGGGACGCATGCGGGCACACGCACTGGGACCTTCGGTGGAGCTCCCTATGGGGTCACGAAACGTGTGAGGGGTGTGCCGACATGGGTGGTGATAATGATGATGACGACAGATGATGATGACGATGACGATGATGGGGATGATGACGATGATGATGAAGATGGGAGGAGGGAGGGGGCAGCGGGAAGGAAGGAACGCGGGGCGCTGTCTCTTCAAAACGAGGACCCAACACCACAGGATGGTTGGGAAAAACACATGGTTTCGCAACACTGATTTGCTTAAAAAAGCTTCCGCGCGAGCTCTTGCAAAATCTGAAGAGAACCATAGACTTTTCAAGATTTTTACAAAGTGCTACCAAACGGGCTTCGCGCGCGCATGTCGAAATCTGTCGAACGCCCTTGCGCGTGTGCCGTCGCGAGAACCCTCTGCAAAAAACGGGACGAAGTGCAGACGCGCGCGTGGTCGTGCGCGTACGCCGAAATCCTTCAAAACCCATCGGTTTCGGAAGGATTTCGAAATCGCGCGTCCAAAAAACCTACAAAAACCCAAGGTTTCGCAATACGGATTTTCAACAAAAGCATGCGCGCGCGCTCTTGCGTCATCGTCGTCGTCGCCGTCCTCCCTCCTCCCGCGTCGTTGTCGTCGTCGTCGTCGCTTACGTCGTCCTCTGTCTTTCCTCGTGTTCGTTGTCGTCGCCCTCTTTGGCGTCGTGGTCGTTTCCGTCGTCGTTGTCGCCGTGGTCGTCCTTCCTCCTCCTCCCTCGTCGGCGTCGTCCTCCGTCGTCGGCGTCTCATCGTCGTCCCTCCTATTTCGTCGCCGTCGTCGTCGTCGTCGTCGTCGTCGTCGTTGTCGTCGTCGTCTTCCCTCCTCCCTCGTCGTTGCCGTCGTCGGCGTCGCCGTCCTTCCTCCTTCTTCGTCGTTCGCGTCGTCGCCGTCCTCCCTCCTCCCTCGTCGTTGTCGTCGTTGTCGCCGTTGTCGCCGTCGTCGTCCTCTCTCCTCCCTCATCGTCGTCTTCGTTGGCGTCGTCGTCGTCGTCGTCGTCGGCGTCGTCGTCGCGTCGTCGTTGTCGGCGTCGTCGTCGTCGCCGCCGTCGTCGTCGTCGTCGTCGGCGTCGTTGACGGCGTCGTTGACGTCGTCGTCGTCGTCGGCGTCGTCGTTGTCGTCGTCGTCGGCGTCGTCATCGTCGTCGTCGTTGTCATCGTCGTCGTCGTCGTCGTTGTCGGCGTCGTCGAAGTCGTTGTCGGCGGCGTCGTCGTCATTGTCGCTGTCGTCGTCGGCATCGCTGTCGTTGGCAAGTGCCATTTGGTACCCACCGTCACGGTCTTAAGAGATTTTGCGAACCAAGTTGCGGGTGGGTGGGTGGGATGTTTGCGCGAGCAGTGGAGTGGTCAATCGCGGTGCAGGGTAGTCAATTGCACCACTTAGATTGCTCCAAGTAGATTGCACAATATATGTGGGGCAAATATGCTAGCATCCGTATTTTCTCCAGCTAGCATCTCAATGCAATTCTTCTTGCCGTAGCTGCAACTAAAAGGCCAAGCGGCTTGGCGGAGCCGACTTCACGATGACGATCCTCTTTGTATCCAGACACAGGCGCCTCGCCAACAGCTTTCATGTAGGATTCGGTCGCCGATGTTCGCTGGACCCTAACATGCCGTAGTCATGGCCACGAGCCGATTGCCAGGCGCGCCGCGCGCATGAGGCTGGCGTGCTGGCCCGTGGCCGAGGGGGCGCAGGCCGACAGGGCGGGCCAACGTGAGCTTCCAGGTGTAGCCCGGGCGGTCCCCGCACGTGTTCGCCTTCCCGCCCTGCCCCACGCCCTCCTCCTCCCCGAGTCTTCAGAGATCGTCTACTGCTTCGGCTGTCCCAAGTTCAATAGTCCACGATCGGCTGTTCCCGAAGTGCATCAACGGCGGGTCTCCTCCTCGTCCCGCCCCCCTCTTGTCCCTTGCCGGGCGCGCTGCTGCCTCAGCCGCGTGCCCAGCACTCGGGGCATGCCAGCCCGTCGGTTTTGCAGGCTTCCTACTCCTCCTCCTCCTTTCCTCCCTCCCCCCTTCCCTTCCAGTCTCATTTGGATTTTTGTATTGGCCGCTCTGGGCCGCCGCGGCGTTCCACGCGACGCTGCGTCTCGTTCTTTTCCGCCAAGTCAAGCAATTTTGACAACCCCGTTGCCGACTCCCTCTCCTTCTCTCGGCGGCGAGCGAGGGGGGAAGTGCGAAGGAGAAGGCCCTCCCAGAAGGCGACAGGACTTCTCAGAAGCTCTCGCGCCTTCTGAGAAGCTTTCTGAGTCTTCGGGGAAGGCCCAGGAAGCTTCTCAGAAGGCCAGGAGACTTCCGAGCTTCCTGGGAAGGCCTTCTCCTTCTCGCTTCCCCCCCTCGCTCGCCGCCGATCCTCCTCCTCCTCTCATTTGGTTCCTCCCCCCGCTCCTCCTCCTCCTCTCTTCTTGTGCCAAGTGGCTGGGCGGACCTGGGTGGCCCGCCGGTCGGACACGCGGCCGGAGGCCAGCCGGCGACAACACTGAAGGGGCCCTGGGACACACAAATAAGTACACTCAAATGAAAAGATTCCCCACATTTTCCCATACATTTTGGGGCTTTGTCTTCCCCCCCCTTCCCGTATTTTCCCATCTGTTCTGGGGAATCAGCGATTCATTGTGTCTGTGTGTTTTCTCCCCTCCTGAAGCACTTCAGCCACACTCCGTGACACGGCTCCCCCTCCGCCGCCTCCTCTCGGCGGCGAGCGAGACCCGGCAAACCCAACCCTCCCCGATGTAACTATAGGCAGCGCTGCAGTGCCAGAAAGAGCACTGACGTGGCAACTTTCGGCAACTTTCCAGAATACCCGCCAGCAAGTACCCTTTTCGGTGCCGCTGATCCATTGTGATGGGACGGCGCGGCTGGAGGCTCCGCGCAACTCCGTCGAAGAACTTGGCCTTCGTTGGCGGCGAGCGAGGGGGTGGAAGTGAGAAGGAGAAGGCCTTCTCAGAAGGCGGCGGGACTTCTTAGAAGCTCTCGCGCCTTCTGAGGAGTTTCTGTGTCTTCGGGGAAGGCAGAAACAACTTCTCAGGAGGCCGGGGGACTTCCGAGCCTTTTGAGAAGCCCCACCCCTTCTCACTTCCCTCCCTCGCTCGCCGCCGATTGTTTCCCTCCCCGCCTCCTTGCCGTCGAAATTGTTTAAGACAGAGTGCGGGCCTGATTCTCTGGCACTGCCAATCTCATGTGACGGTGTCGCACTTGTCGCGAAACACCATCTCGGGAACAAAAAGCAGGGCCAATGACATCGCGGTGACCACAAACCTCACTCTTTGGACGTCTCAGGGTCGATGCGCGAATCATCATGTCCCTTCTTCAACTTAAGTGTTGACAAATGTAGCTTTGCGAAGATGTACGGTGGCAGCCTCGCTGACGGTTTAAGTAATCCTGGGGCCAAGATGGAAGAGATTGACGCGTCAGAATCACGCGTCGAGGTTACGATGCAAACGCCCCAAACGCGCTGGCTGGAAACCAACAAATATACGGAAACTCAGCCAGACAAGGGGGCCGAAGAGAAGGGAGGAGGGGGCCACTTGTGAGAAGGCGTAGAGAGGACGACGTGCTCGCAAAAGACATGAGCAAACACCTGGCGTCGGCTCCAAAACATCACTGGAGCATCCGAAGTTGAGGCCGGTGTCGCAAGAAGCTGAGGCGGAAGTGGGGCCCCGACTCGAAAACCAGGCCGTGACGGCTTCCGCGCGCGCCCTGGGCAGAGGATCACCATGCCCGGCGGCCCCACGGGCAGCCGAATTCCTCTACGATTCGTACTTTCCCCGGGGATAATGAAGTTCAGCTCCGCCGCTTCCCGCCGCCGACCAAAACTGTCATAGCCGTCGATAGTCAATACTGAACTGACAAGCGCGATGGACTGGGCGAACGATGACTGTGCGATGGACTCGGTAGAAGATCACCATACCCCGCGCCCCTGCTCGCCCGCCTGATCTCCCACTTCAGCGACTCCACGTCGACGCGCGTCGCCGGCCCCCGCAGCTGCAAGCAGCCTCCAACGAACTCCTCGAGGGAGACGCGGCCCGAGTTGTCTGCGTCGATGATCTTGAAGAGTTTCCACGTCTGCTTTGCGTCAATGTCCAAAGATACGCCACCGTGCCCTCGGCACGATGGGGCGCCTCAGGATGCCTGTTGCTTGCCTGGCAGGGCTTTCCAAGGGCGGCCCCGCCCCTCGTCGCACGCTCTGCCCAGAGACCGCCCCCCCCCAAGACGAGCCAATCTCGCTCCAAGGGGGCTCCAGGACGGCCTCGAGAGCCGATCAGATGGCCTCCAATCGACTCTACAGCTTTCAGAATGCAGCGCGAGGGCCGCAGCATGTCCCCAACTCCACCCCACCCCAAGACCCTAAACAGCATCGGCACCGGGCTGCGCAGGAAGTTGCGCCAGGCACCCAGCGGGCAACCAAGTCAACAATTGCCTCAGCAGATCTCGCCATCGGCTGCGCCACAAGTTGAGCCAGACACCCCACGAGTATCTAATAAGTTTTGCCCCAGAGTGTGTGCGTTAGACCACAGGTTGCGCAAGACATCCCGCGGGTAACCAAATCGTCCGTTGCCGCAGTGGCTGTCTCATAGGTTGCGCCATAAGTCGCGCCAGACACCCCGCGTGGCAACCACCTCGTCTGTTGCCTCAGCTGGTGCGCCATAGGCCTCCAAGACATGCCCAATAGCCTCCCCGAGAGACCACAGCAAAACATTCTCACTGCGTTTGGTCAACGACTCAGGCAAAGTGGCGGGATAGGCCCACGTCCACTATCCGCCACCATGCCCAGAGGCACGAGCTGGAGTGTCCTCAGGTCCTTGGCCTAACCTTGGCGGCGCGCACGAGGGGGTGGAGGGAGGGGGGAGGGCTCCTTAGAAGGAGGCTGCTTCCTAGAAGGCACAGGCCTTACATCTACAGACGAGGCCCGCGCCTTCTAAGAAGCAGGGGTGCTTCCAAGAAGCCCCCCCCCTTCCCCCACCCGCCTTTGCGCGTGGCTGATGATCCCTTAAGCCCCAGTCCTCAGTCCTGAGGATTCTTTAAAAGGACCTGGACCCCGAATTCCCAAGTCTCCCAGGCCTTCCCGCGTGCCTCCGAGTACCGTCGCAAGACTTCTGCGGGCCCAAGAGGGCCCCCTGACAGGCCAAGGGCACCCCAAGGGGGCCCCGAATCGCCGAACGATCGGTCCAAGACGCCCCAGATGGCCTGAAGACCGATGAATATGCGCCCAAGGCGCCCCGAGAAGGCCAAGAGGCCTCCCAAGAGGGCCCCAAGAGGTAAACATCGTCTAACTCCCGTGGGAGAACGTGCATTTCTAGCACGCACGACTTTTCGGCCTCACGGCGTTCAAGACGGCCCAAGAGGCCCCCAAGATCTCCGCAAGACGGCCCGCCAGGCCCCCAAGAGGGCCCCAAGGCGGCCCAAGAGGGCCCCAGGCCGGCCCAAGAGGCGCCTCGGACGGCCAAAGAGAGCCCCAAGACAGTCCCAAGTGGGGCCCAAGAGGGGGAGCCCAAACCGACAATTCGAGTTTTTCACCCCAAGCTGCCCAGAAGAGGCCCCAAGAGGCTCCCCAAAGGCCTCCGCAAGACTCCCAAGACGCCCCAGGAGGCCCCTAAACGGCCCCCAAGAGGCCTGAGAACCGCCTCTAACAGGCTTCCGAGCGGCCTCCCACGACATCCAAGCGAACATCCAAGAGGCCTATGACTCACAACCCAGGCACGGTAGCGAGATGGGCCGAAAGCCATTCGATACCATTCACAATCTTACGGTACCTTTCGGGAAGGCCGTCGAGGGCCTCAACACGACCCAAGAGAGCGCCCAACGACCCCACGGGGGGGGGCCAGATGGCCAAGGGGGATCCCCCTGGAGAGGTGCAGCCCCACAGGGCCAGAACGATTGCTCCTCCTCTTCCTGCGCCTCCTTTCGGCGGCGCGCAGAGGGGGGTAGGGGGAGGGGTGGAGGCTTCTTTAAAGCACGCCTGCTTCTTAGAATGCGCCGGCCTTTTCTCCTTCTCACTTCCTCCCCCGGCGCGCCGCCGAACCTCCTTGTTGCCCTTCCGCCGCGGTTTGCCTTGCGCGCCCTTCTCGATTTTTCTTTTTGCCGCACCCTTGCTCCAGGCCCCCCCGCTGCTTCTCCTGCCGCCCCTTCCCACTGCGCACCTCCCGCCTCTTCCGTCAATGCCGATGTCCTCCCAAGGCCGGCCGCACCTGCCGTAAGGCCTCTGCAATCGTCAGCTGCAACAGTGGTTGCGCTGATCTTAGCTGCCCCGATACGCAACACGCAACACGTAGCGTATTGATACGGAGCTCAACACGCGGACTGAATACGTAGGTCTGACGCGATACGTTCGCCAATACGTGGTCCAATACGTTGAACTAACACGCAGCGTATCGACACGGACGTCTGGAGCACGGTACGTCATGCGTATCGAAACAGGCGTATCGAGGCAGCTAAGGTGCTGGTGGGTTGCGCCATACGTTGCGCCAGACCCCGTGGCCGAAGGCGCGAGACATGCGAAAAGCGAGAGGGGCCCTCCAGCAATAAAATTTGCCAAATCGGGGCTCGGGCGCTGTGCAAACCGCCTGAAAATCTTTCGCATTCGAACGAGAATGCTGTGCGGTAAACAACCCCCAAAGGCGACCGCAACAGGTAATCAGCTCCAGCATGTCGGGACCCTTTGACGGGCTGCTCCGCTCGGCGAGCTGAACCGCTGTTGCACACAGTGAACAACAAAAAGAGAGCGGAGGACGCCGCTGCGCCCGTGGCCCCAGCAGGTGTGCCGCCCCGCGGCCAAACGAATTCGTCCGGCGCCTCCGCAGGCCTGCCGTGGAGTGCGCCATCGGCTGCGCATGACACTCCGCGAGCAATCGGCCTCACCGGGTGTGTCGCAGGCTGCGCCAGATACCCCGCGGGGAGCCACTTCGGGTGTTGCCTTAATGGGTCTGCCGCATGTTGCCCTGTGAGTTCCGCCGTGGGATGCGCCAGACGCCCCGCGGGAGCCGACATCAGACGCTGCCCCAGGGAAATGTGTCATAGGTTGCGCCATACGTTGCGCCAAAGACTAGGTGGACAATCACTTCGCCCGTTGCCCCAGTGGGTGTGCCAGTGGTTGCGCCATGAATGGCGGCAGATACCCCGCGGGCAACCACATCATTCGTTGGCCTTATGGGTTACGTTCAAGTCTCACAGAGCTCCCTTGGAGCGTTCGCTGCTTAGGGTAATGCCCCGAAGCCTCCAGTTAAGTCCCCAGAGCACACAGCAACAACGACGCTATGACGGAGCCAAGCTACAGCATCGCATATACTAGCTCAATATTGCCCCCAGATGATTCAACCTACCATGTTTAATCCATCCGTACAGCTACCCTGCATGTATTTCGATGCTGCGCTTGCACGGTCGTGAGATTTGCCACAGGCAGCTGGATCTGAACCATGACTGCACTTTTGGCTTGGCCAGCTGCAGATTGAGATCGTCTACTGTCATCCCATCACTCATGGCACCGCTGTCTTCGTTCATCTCCTGGAAGAGCATCCCTAGTCGCTGAGCGTGCATTTGCTTCTCCCTCAGCTGGGCGTCAATGCTCATGTCCAAGTCTTGCTGGGCCCCCTCGATTGCATTCTGGCAGAAGACACCTGATGATCGTTCATCATGTATGATCCACTTCCGACGTGTGGCGTAAGGGGGGGGAGGGAGAGACCTGGCTCTGGGCCCATGCTTAGCCGATCTGATCGAACGAGTTTCCAAAGCTCAAGTTTCCTCAATGGGGCGGGCAGGGATGTGCAGGGGCGTGCACCCAGACATGCGACGTCCTGATTTTTTCAGTGCGGCGTCCCCGGAGATCCCGACCCTTTCCCCGGGGCCGGTTTTTCACTGAATCGTTTTTTGACGCTCACGGGGGCCGGCGAGGGCCCCCAGGGGTCGAAAATAGCGAAAAGCTTGCCGTCCTGATTTTTTAACGACGCGGACATGTTTGGGCAAGCATGTGCAGGAGCGTGCAAGGGCCGTGCAGGGCTGCGCCGAGCTTCGCAAAAGTCTGCACAGGCCCATGCCGCGACCCTGCAGGGCTGTGCAGGGGGCGCGCCAGGGGCTGTGCACGGGCGTGCATGGGGCACTGCAAGGCTGCGGCAGGGCTGCGCCTTCTGAAACGACTTCATTCCTGGGGGAGCAGGAGGGAGGAGGGTGTTTTCTAGCTGCGGCGGCGCCCCTAGTGGCGGACGCGCAAGTCCCAGCATACCTTCTCGGCCTTTTGGCTATTGATCAAATGTAGTATCTGTTCTTATCAGTGTGACAACCGATGTGTCTCCTGCTAGAGACTCTTGCTGGTCGCATGTATTTTTTCAGGGGAGGACTCCCACCCATTCTGTCCCTCCGGTCCGGTCCTCTCTCCGCCTCCTCCCTCCTGCTGCTGCTCTGCTGCCGGCCGCTGCCATCCAGGGCCCCTGGCGCCGCTCGACCCGCGCCGCCCCGCGACAACAAGGGCGCGCGCCCGGCCCCTCCCTGGCGGGCCCCGCCGGGCACTCCGCCTCCCCTGGAGCTCTCGTGCCTGGATTGAAATCGGGATGAGAGCGTGATCCACCGCCGCTTTACTGTGGAAAATTGCCAACCTTTTCCTCCGGAACCCGGGGGTCCCCCCCCCCCCCTCCGAAAATCCCCCCCCCCTCCTGCTGGAACCCCCCCACCACTTCCCCCCGGCAAACCCCCCCCCCTCCCCTAACCCCTCCCCCCCCCCCCCCCCCCCGAAAACCGGGGGGGGTCACTACCAGTTCGAACCCCTCCCCCCCCCCCCCCCCCTCCGGATCCGGAAAACCGGGGGGGGTCACTACCGGTTGGAACCCCCCCCCCCCCCCCTCGAAAACCGGAGGGGGGTCACTACCGGTTCGACCCCCCCCCCACGCACCGCCAGCAAACGACTCCCGGTCCCTACCACCGCTCGCATCACATCCCCCACTGTTGTTCCCAGCACCACTGTCCTCACCACCACTGTCCCCACTGGTTCCACCACCGTCCCTATTGTCCCCACCAGTGCCCCCACCACTGTCGCACTGTCCCCACTGTTCCCACAACTGTTCCCACCACGGTTCCACTCTCCCCACTGTCTCCACGGACCCAACCACTGCCTATCCCCACTGTCCCCACTGTCCCACTGACTCCTCCGCTGTCCCACTGAGCTGTCCCACTGTTTCCACCACTGTCCCCACTGTCCCCACCACTGTCCCCACTGTACCTCTGTCCCATTGTCCCACCGCCGTCCTCGCCACCGCCTTTACCAGTGTCCCCACCACCATTGTACCCTCCACTGTCCCAGTGTTTCCACCTCATTCCCACTGTCCCCACACCACTGTCCCCACCACCACCGTTCCCACCACTGTCCACTGTCCCCCCTGTTCCCACCATTGTCCCCACCACTGTCCCCACCACTACCGTCCCCACCACTGTCCCACTGTCCCCCCACTGTCCCCACCACTGTCCCGCTGTCCCCTCACCACTGTCCCCACCAACACCGTCCCCACCACTGTCCGCACCCCCACTCGGTTTTCGAGGGGGGGGGGGGGGTTCGAACCGGTAGTGACCCCCCCCCTTTTCATGATGAGCTGGGGGGGGGGGGGGGAGGGGTTCGAACCGGTAGTGACCCCCCCCGGTTTTCCGGAGGGGGGGGGGGAGGGGTTCGAACCAGTAGTGACCCCCCCCCGGTTTTCCGCCAGCAGCGGTAGAACACGCTCTTTCAAATCGGGCGTGCCCCCCTGTAGGGGGATTTTGGGCGAGAAACAAGACATACCCCCCGAAGACTCAAACAGAGATGATCAAGAGTACTCAGAACATTGTCCCCCGACTATTTCGCGACTGCTTTGGAATTTTCCTCCCGTAGAGGGACGGGCCCGACTCGAGCCCGGGTGGCCCTCGCTCGAGACGTCCTCGCCCCGCCTCGCCGTGCGGGGGCGCCGCGCGTGGGCCGCGCACAAAAGGGCCGTGCGCGGCCTGCTGGGGCCCTTTTGGCTCGGGCTCTTCCCGGGGTCCTCGGGCACGCGAGAGTCAGGAGGGGGGAAAAACACAGAGACAGAAGCAATCGTCGATTCCCAAGAAAGTATGGGAAAACATGGGAAGTGGGGGGGGGGGAAGACGAAAATCCCCCAAATATGGAAAAGTAAGGGGAATCCGGTTATTTGTGTGTATCTATTTGTGTCCATGGGCCCCTTCAGAGAGACGGTTTGGACGCCCTCGAAGCTCTCTTCGAAACTCTCCACACGCCTCCGAAATCCCGAGTTCTGGCACCTCCTGTGGGGGGGGCGCCCTTCGGAGAGAAGCGGGTCTTGCGCGCGACGGCGTAGCGACCTCACTTTGGACGCCCGATACGGGTATCGACAAAAATGGGTACAATGCCCAACAGATGTTGTCCCGAACCAACAGCGACCGCTGTTGGGCAGGCGGCCTCCTGTCCCAAATGGACACAGGCCGCGGCGGCGCGGACCGCGAGCCCTGCTCAGAAGGAGCAGGAACTAATGTTGGGCATGGTAGCCATTCTTTCCGTACCCGCTTCGCTCGTGCCGAGAGGGGGACCAGAGGCATGCTTTCTTCGGCGGTGGACAAACCTCCCTTTAGTAAACCACACTTTCGTGAAAACGGCCTGGGGCCGAAACCGACGGACCTGGACCCACGAAAATGACGGCCGCGACGCCCTCCCGCGAACCGGAAACGGCCAATTCGATCATCGACGTGTCAGGGTAAGAGGTCTATCATCCTCCGATCTCTCGTGATCGCGTCCGTCGCCCCGGAGCCCTCGCCCCTCGGCGCCGGAAGGCGCAGGGGAAGCGCGGACGCGCAGAAGCACGCGGCAGCAGCCGCGTGCATCTCTCCCAGGGGCGGCGGCGCTCGCGCCTCGTCCACGCGATCGAAGTGGCTGCCCAAATCGGCCCCGAGCTTCTCTCGTGGGGGGAGGGGTGTGAGAGGCAACGAGAGTGGGGGATAGGCATAGGGGGGATGCATCGACCTGGAATCGGCGATACATCGCCGATAGATCGGCGATAGGCCCCCGATAGTGAATCCGCACCTTCCTGGGCGGGTTGGGGCTATCGGGCCCCCATCGGAGATCAATGGACGATTGGGGGTCGATGCGTCCCCCCCTGTGCCCATCCCCCCCTATCGCTGCCCCTGAGGGTGGGGGGCGGGCTTCCGCCGATCGGAGGAGGAGAACACGAAGGAACGTCGGCCTGTCACAACGTTCAGTATGAAGAAGTAGGCGATGGCAATGTAGATCAAGAACAGCATGATCCACGTGGGGTTTCCCGCAAACTCCAGGGGCGTGGTCAGCTCGATCCAACTAATACCCCCCGAGACAGCCATCGTCAAGCTCAACATTGATCGCAAAAGGGAGCCGTAGTGCGTTCGTAGTCGTTCATCATCGATATTCGTACCACCTTTCGTATGCTCTGTCACAGCTTGCGTCAAGATGACTCCAAAAGCGTACACGATCATGAAAAGCAGCAGGAGCGCCCAAAAAACAGACTTGCCGGCGGCCATGATAGAACGCACCAACATCCTCAAGGGCTTCAATTGGCGAAATGTGCGGACGAGGCGAAGAAGCCGGGTGAGGCGAATGAGGCGCATCATCTTCGCTGTTCCACCATTGTCGAAGAAACTGTCCGTGCTCGAGGATGAGCGCACAACGAGCTCCAGAGTAACCTCGACGAGCGCCAGGATCAGAATGATAAGGTCGAAACAGTTCCACATTGTTTCGCTCAAGAAAAACTGGAATCTAAACACATACAGTCGTGCCACCATCTCCAACGTGAACAGGAACGTGATGCAGTAATTCATCCACGACAACGCAACCAACATCTCTTCCGAGTCCGACCCTTGGTAGGATTTGATGGACAGAACCTGGGTCTCAACGCCTATCAACACAGCGCTCGTGATAATCAGAGAAGCGAGCGCCACGCTGAAATAGCGGCTCTGCACGAACCAAGCCAGAGCTCTCGTATCCGTTGTCTGCGACGATATCGTAGTGGCTCTGCAGCTCGCCCTGATGGAGTCAACAGTTTTCCTCGCGTCAATGTCGTCGAATCTGAGGTTCCGATAAAGGCTAGACATCTGAGGCTGCAGGGAAGGTCGACTTGTGAGGGAGGCGCTCCTGGGGCAATCCAAGGAGTACCGATACCACTCCCCGGACCTCTTCCGGGGTGCGCTCCGACCAGAATCTCGGGGCGAATCCAGCGGTGGCGACGAGGGCCCCCCAGGAGGCCGAGAAAGGGGACAGCGAGGGAGCGATAGCGGCATGGGTACCCTTTCTAGAAGCCTCCTAGATGGGGTCCGACTAGATGGGGTTGAAGGATCGCGGCGCATCGCCAATACATCGGCGATGCATCGGCGATACACCCGCGTTGCATCGTGGACGTCGGCGACATATCGGCGACGTCGACGTGAAGCAAATTGGGCCCCCCATCGAGCCGCATCGGCGATGCATTGGCGATGCGGCGCGATCCTCCGGCCCCATCTGTTCCGACCCCGTCTGGGAGGCCGATACTCGATTACACGCAAGAGTGACCCTGGGTAAGGGTGACCATTGGTGCGCGGCTTTTGGGGGGCCGCGGGGGGACCGAACACGAGCGCGCAAGACGCTGCCACCGCGTTGCCTTCGGCGATCGGGGGACCCCCTTGGGCCCGCACCCGAGGCCACTCCGGCGAAAAAGGTCACTTTTGCGCCCCGTCGAGACACTCTCTGCCCCCCCTCGGAGCTCCAGTTGACCACCTGCTTGGCACGGCGGCCGCCGCCGGCGGCCCGCTGCGGGGCGCTCTCGCAGCTGCCCTCCGAGCCGACGGGCGCCCCGCTGTCGGCGGGCTCGGCGGGGGCCTCCGGCGCCTCGGGCGCCGGGCCCAGCGGCCGCAGCAGCGGGGGGGCAGGGCGCGTCCCTGAGGCGGGCGGCAGCGGGGGTGCAGCGAGCCCGCCGGGGGCGGGGGGAGGCGGAGGAGCGGGAGCACGAGGAGGAGGAGGAGGAGGAGGAGGAGGAGGAGGAGGAGGAGGAGGAGGAGGAGGAGGGGGGAGGAGGAGGAGGAGGAGGAGGAGGAGGAGGAGGAGGAGGCGGAGGAGGAGGAGGAGGGAGGAGGAGGGAGGAGGGAGGAGGAGGAGGAGGAGGAGGAGGAAGAGGACTAGTGTAAACCCAAGAGTCATCAACGGTGTTGGAATAAACCCTCCCTCCAAGCTCCCTCTTCATAGGCCCCTACAAGGAGTCATTCCCACTGAGGGAACTGCCACGTTGGAAGTCAACCCTTTGAAGACCCTGAAGCATGCCAAAACATTATTCTCGGGACTCCAACGCCACAGATGAACCTGACTGTTGCGGTTTGGCGATCCTGAAGCGTGCCGGAACGCCATTCCTGGGACTTCAACACCGCGAATCAACGTAACTGTTGACCCTCATAATCCTGAATCTTTCCAAAACACCACTTCTGGTACGTTGACCATGAGAACCCATGAAACTCTGCAAATGTTTGGAAACTAATGTGCGCGGCGCTAAAGCGAGAACCACATTCTGAAAAGGAGCCGCCCTCAATCCGTGAAGCTCTTGCGAATTTTGATACGAATGAACCCACGGCGCTAAGGCGAGAACCACATGTCAAAAAGGAACCGCCATCAATCCGCGAAACTCTTGCAAGTAAAGAGACGAATGTGCGCAGCGCTAGGGCGAGCGCCACATTTTGAAAACCACCCTTCCATCTGCGAGCTGTAGGGTCATCAATGGTGAGGAAGTCTCGGGCGAAACGCTCGGCCCGCCCTACAGACACGTCTGGTGTGAGAGGGGGAGGAGTTGTCTGTAAGGAGAAGGGATGGAGGAGGAGGAGGAGGAGGAGGAGGAGGAGGAGGAGGAGGAGGAGGAGGAGGAGGAGGAGGAGGAGGAGGAGGAGGAGGAGGAGAAGAGGGCCGAGGGTTAGGGGGGGGGCAGCGTGGTGCACAGGAGCGGCGCCTAGCTTCGCGCCTCGCGCCGCACGAGGCGCGCACGCGTGACTACCTTCGCACCCCTTCGGGTGACTTGGAGCCTTTGCGTCGCTAAAGCGATGGTAGTATGAACTGTTCCGATGCCGCCTCGTTCGTCGGCCCCGCCGCTACCGTCGGGCCGAACCCCCGCGTGCAAAACCTCGTACTCCGCGGCGAGCTCGAGCAGCCGTTGCCGGAAAAGCCAGGGCTGCATGGGGCGCAGGGCCTCGGCTGCCACCAGCCCGCGCGCTCGTGGGTGGGGCCCAGCTGTTTTGAGCCCCAGAGCCATATCGGAAGAGGGGGATAACTAAGGCGAAGGGCAAGGGCAAGGGCATGGCGCTCGGAGGTCACCCGGCTGCTGCTGCTGCTGCTGCTGCTGCTGCTGTTGCTGCTTCTTTTGGCATTGCAAAGCCGCTGCGGCCGAAGCGTGAATGCACGAGGTCGCGCCTGAGCCGCTCCTGGGGCCGAAAGCCGGGCTGTGGCGGCTGCCGTCCGCGTCGCGGGCAGAGGAGCACCGTTGCAAGGTGCACGCTGGGCCCCGGGAGCGTTGCTTTTTCCAGGCCGTCCGCTGCCGGCCGCGTGCAGACGGGGGCCGCGAGGAGGCCGCGCCCTCAGGGAGGGCCCCCTCCGCCAGGTCACTCAACTTAAAAACTTTGTGCCGCGCGAAGCGCAAATAGAGGCTTGCGCTCTCGCAGCGACCCCCCTGGAGCAGGACAGCTCTGCGGCCCAGGCCATCGCGTGTGAAAGGTGTGACCTAACGCACTAACTAACTAACTAACTAACTAACAAACTAACTAACTAACTAACTAACTAACTCCGTCTCCTCCATATCGGGCAGCGCCAGACTTCCACGTGAGACGAGAGCTATCGCCGACCAAGCACATAATTCGGCACGCCGTGGAATGTCAGCTCGGTTTTTGGGTGCAACTGGGGTCTCCACTTTCGACTTAGCTGTAATGTAAATATTAGCTGTCGCATCCGTGTGCGCGCCAGTATTCGCCTCTATCGTCTGCAAACGCACAACAACAGCCCTACATGCATCACCGATCTTGACAATGTGGACGGAACTGGGCCCCCTTTCGCTCCTGCATGGGGTGCCCCGTGTGGAGCAATGCAAGGGTCTACTTCTTTCTGCTTCTTCTTCTCTTCCTCCTCATCCTTCTCTTCTTTGTTCTTCCTCCTCCCCCTCCTCCTCCTCGCCTCTTTTTCGTTGCCTTCTTCACCTCGCACTCCCCCTCCTCCTCCTCCTCCTCCCTCCTCCTCCTTCTCCTCTTCTTCCTCCTCCTGCCCCTCCTCCTCCTCCGCCTCCTTCTCCTCCTCCTCCTCCTCCTCCGCCTTAGAGCTGAAAGCTAATGGCGCTAATGTCATTTAGACGCCGCCATCCCCCCCTCCCGCCCAAGGGCGGTCGTCCTTAGGGGGGGGGATCAAGCTAAGGTAACCGTAAGGGAAAGAAGAAGCGAACCGACAGACCCTCTTGAGGCGGGGCGTTGACGTCCCCCTGCATGCTAGGGCTGTGGGGGAGAAACGGAGCTGGGAACACGATGAATCATGACGAGGGGGAGGAAGGAAGCAGGGATGCACGCTGCGGCACGGTGGCTCACGCTGGCCGGTGCGACGGCGGGCGTGGCCGGGCCACTCTCGCTCGCTGGAAGTAGGCTGGCGCAAAACAGCCTCTCCCGTCAGCCAAGGGACCTCTCGGCGGGACGGCCCCGGGTCACCGAGGAGGAGGAGGAGGAGGAGGAGGAGGAGGAGGAGGAGGAGGAGGAGGAGGACGAGGAGGAGGACGAGGAGGACGAGGAGGAGTCCCCCGGATCGGCGGCACTGGCCGGAGGCCATTACAATACACCTCCCGCGCAGGACTCACTCGTCGAGCTCGTCGGGGCTCTCGAATTCGTCAAGGTTGCCACACTCCCTCTCGCATCGCATCACCGTGCTCCAGGGCTTTCTGAGGTAAGGCCTCACGTAGAATGAGTAGGCAGTGCACAGCACCCAGAAAAGAAGCACCGAAATGAAGGCAGCCAGGTTGGTCGACCAATCCCACGCTATCTCTAACCACCACAGCATATCCCTGAGCCCGAATCCAACGCACGTCTGCAGGCTGAGCCATGCCAGCATCACCACTTGCAGAAGCAAGAAGTTGTCCAAAAACGTCGTGTATGGCACTGACGGCAATACCTTGTTGATCCCATATTTGAATGTGATCAACGTGAGCAGTCCCCCCATGTAGAGGTCTAAGCGCTCATCGACAAAGTCTCGTTTATTGGGGATGGCCAGTGGGAAGCAGGACACACAAGTTATGCAAGTAGAGATTAAGAATACTTGCCTCGCGTAGTACCAATGCTTTCGCTGAATACGAAGTCGCAACGTAAACTGGCTGCAACATGTTGGCACTCCAAGGTCACCGACGGGACTCGTCTCGTCGCGCGCTATCACGTATGCTGGAAACGGTCTCCACTCTGGGACCATGGAGTACGTCAGCACAGTGAAATCGACGACATCCATGGATTTGAAATAATCGCAAGCCTCGGTCTCTTCTTGCTGAAAAGGGGCGAACCGCCAAACAAACTCTAACTTCTCCAAATTCAGAATATGTCGATCGTAGGGAAAATCCTCCATCCGGAACGCCTTGTGGCCCGTGATGGCGAATAGTGACGTCCCCCTCCAGAAGATGGTGGTGAGCCCTGTCTGGGTCACATCCTTCCAAATGCGGCTCTCCTCGACAGCCACACTGACTCCAGGCATCCGGATGCCAGGGGTACCACGGAAATCCACCTCCGCCTGCTCATCCAGACTCGATGCGCGGAAGCTCCAGTGGCACCTCATCCTCAGGTGGAAGGTGCCGAGCTTAGCGTTGATGCCGATCAGCCTGATCCTTGCTCTGCACCGCACCTTCTCCAGGTAGTCTGGGCGCGCCTCGTCCCAGAGCTGCACGGGAGGTGCTGGCGAGCTGGAATAGTGTGTCGCGGGCCCATCTCTGGAGCCAGCGCTCTGCGTGCGCGGAAGGTCGCAGGCCTCCACTGCAGCTGGCCTGGGTATGAGGGCATCCTCCGCGGCGTCGTCGCAGTCGCTGGCGTACCACCGGAACGCCAGGGGCGTGTGCACGAGGCCGCTGCCAGACCAGTAGTCGACCTGCCAGTCGTCCTCCCTCGGAGTGCCAGAGGCCCCAGGGGACGCGGACGCCGCGTGCCTCGACGGCTCGAAGAAGGAGGGTCCCCCGCGCAGCTCGTCATCCCACCTGCGCAGGAAGGAGCTCCGGCTGATGGGGTCGGCGTGCGTCCCCTCTTCGCGCCGCCCGGCGCGGGAGGCTCCCGGGCCCATCGCGGCCTGGCCAGGTCGCTCAGGCCGAGCGAGCCCGCCCGACGCGCGCAGCGAGCCCGCCCTCGGTGGCCGTCAGCTTCCGGCCAGTGGCGCGGCCGCGGCCGCGACCATGCTTGACGAGACGGCTTGAGCCCAAATGGCTACGGAGGAGGAGGAGGAGGAGGAGGAGCCGGAGGAGGAGGAGGAGGAGGAGGAGGAGGAGGAGGAGGACCCCCTCGTCCGCCGAGGCAGTCGTCGCAGGGGGCCCCAAGGTCGGGACTGGGGGGCCGCCGTGGGATGCCCAGTGGCGGCAGGTGGGTCGGGCATGTCCTCCTACAGGCGAAGTTTGGAAGAACGAATGACAACTGGTCAGCAGATCTTCAGACATAGTCGCAAGATCGTCCCCAGAATATTGCTTTCGACTGTTTACGAACATTCCTCCTGTAGAGGGACATGCCCGACTTAAGGCTACAGGGAGGTTTGCGCCTGCCTGCGGCAATGGCCCCGCGTGGCTAGAGACGCCCTTCCCGACCACCACCCAATCGATCCCCAAATCCACCCACCACCCACACCGTGGTAATAGCGGCTGGCAGCATGGCAGGACACGGGAGGGCGAGAGCTGCCGTGTTGTGCGGAGATGACCGATGATGTGGCCAAGCGGGTTGGCAACGTGGCGGGGCACGGTTGCTTTGAGCAGGCGGTTGAAACAGGCTGAGGTGGTGCGACCAGGCCGCGAAGCGGAGCCGCAGCAAGTTGCGCGGAGGACAGGATGCTGGTGGTGGTACTGCTCGCGGCAGGCATGGCCGACGTCAGGGCGACCGCCGGAGGTGCATCCTCTCCCCCCCCAATTCCCATGCCCGCCCGCCATCCGTCACGTGGTAAAAGCGGTTGGCGACAGGGCGAGACGCGGCAGTGAGAGGGGTGCCAGGTTGCGCGGGCATGACTGAGCATCATGTCCGAGGTGAGAGGAGAGGCAGAAAGGCAGCGAGGCTGCCTGCACAGTGTCTGCGAGGCTGCTGGAGCGGCTAGCCAGCTCGAGACTTGCTGGGCCTGCACGGAGGCAAACGTGACAAATATGTATGGCTTCCTCGGCCGCCCTGGCCAACGCCGAGACGGCCAGTGGTGCGTTTGCCCCTCCCAGCCGTGGTTGCCCCGCCCAGTCCCGCCACTGCAAGAGTAGGGGGGAGAAGGTTCGTTGGGGTGAGCGGCGGAGAAGGCTCTTAAAGGCAGGCGGAGCCAGGAGAGAGTGAAGGTTGGTTGAAAGCCCTCTCAGGACCGAGTGCACAGTTGGCTCTTCGCGTTGTCGCCTCCGAGGCTCCAGCAGTGCTGGTGATCAAAACCACCACCAAAGAAGTGCATGAGAGAGCTCTATATACTGGTCTTTTGGAAGTAGGTGGTCCCGCCCAGTTGGCCGCATTGTGTTGCTTCGTTTTCAGAGCGATCACCTGATGTTCGTCGGGTAAGGCGTGCGTGGTCGAGAAAACCGCGGCGGTTCTAGAGCCTTGTATTACCGCTGGCCCACCAGCATAGCGCTGGCCCTGGAGTATGATAATGATAATATGTGGCCTGTAAGTGAAAAAGCCGCGTCGGATTTTGGAGCCCTGTGTGACCGTGGGCCCACTGCACAGCATAGCTGTTGCAAGTGTAGCCGCCGTCGTGGGTGCTATGAACCGTCGGAAACACCTCCTTGGGTGAGAAAACCACGGCGGATGTTGAAGCCCGGTGTTACGGTAAATCCACTAGCCTCACGCTCTAAGGGTGGTAGCCGCCGCCGTGTGATAGGGTGGAGTGCTGCTGTCGTTGGAGGATGAGGTCGGGGTGGTGACGAGTGCCGTGTGGGAGAGTGGCCGCCAGCTGCTGCTGCTGCTGCTGTCGTAGCAGTGAGCACGGCGGTTTGGTATATGAGAGGTCAAGAGTAAGGTGCAGGGCTGCTGCTGGCGCCCTTGGCTGCCAGGAGCACAACTGGGTGTTTGGAGCTGTCGGTCGCCGGGGGGCAACATCGATGAAGGGAGGAGGTGGCGCGCTGACGGGCCTCCGTGCGGCCGGTCCCGCCGCGGCATGAGGGTTGCGTTCGCCTCTCAGCCGTGGGCTGCGCGGAGAGGGATCGGAAGGGTGGTGCGTGCTCGTCTCCAGGTGGAGGGTCCGCGCCGCGGGCCGCGAGCGTTGCGCTGGGCTGGGCGTCGCGTGGAAATCAATCGCGCTGTCGGCGGCGTCAGTGCGGAGTTGTCCGCGTCCAGCGCGGTTCCCACTCTGTTAGGCCGGTGCCGGTCGCTTGCTTGGCTGGTAGGGGCGGTTGCCCCCGCTTTATTGTGGCTCATGTGGTCGTGGCCGTGGTAGTACTCCTCCTCGTTGCTGTCGTTGGCGAGCGTGGGGTCGGAGCAGAATTTTGGGTACCGTCTATCGAATAAGTAGACCTCGCTTCCCTTTGGCATGTGGTTATCGACGATCATGATCTGAATCTTGAGGGGCTTTGGTTGCGGCAGATCTTCCAACGGTGATGTCGGGAAGGGGTGTTGTGCAAGTCGTATCCGATGTAGGTGCTGGTCCCTCGTCATGTTGTCCATCGTGGGTGCTAGTCCTCGGGTGAAGAGGTCGGCGGTTGGGATGCTGGCGTGACTGTGGCTGCTGTGCGCCTTGTCAGCGTGGTGTCCGTCTTGCTGAGATGGGGGCCTGTTGCCCCTATGTGGAGCTGGTGTGTGTGTGGGGGTCGTCTGAGGTTCAGAGGGTGGGTCGGAGGGGTCGTGTCCTAGGTCCCCGTGTGTCGTCTTGGTCGCTTGGTTGCCCCCTTGGTACTGTAGCGGGCAATTCATGTGGTGAATCGCATCTTTGACGACGCCTTTCTGGAATGCTGTAGTTGCAAAGGTGCTGGCGCTCCGTTCGCCGTTTCTGGTGTTAGCCGACGAGCTCATCGCAGTCGCGTTGCGCGTGGTCGCGTGGAGTCGTCAGCTCTTCAAAGTCATCGGTGGCCCGTACGCATTTATGCCTCACATTTGGTGGATGATGTGCTGCGTGTGCACGCTCTGACTAGCCGTCATGATGAATGGAGCAACTGGCTAGTTGGTCGATTTGCCCTGGCTGCTCCGTCGTGCGCCACAGGGATAGTCTATAATCTGATCGTGCTCGTGTCGGTGTTGCCGATGAGGGTCGCAGACTTGGTCGTGCATGGCGTCAGGGTTGATGATGATGTTGACCAAAAGGTCCTTGGAAACTTTTCGCGTGTGCATTTTCAACAGTGGGGTTTTGGCGTCGTAGTGGGTGCTACTGATGGTCTCGACCAGTCTATTGACCGCGTCGTGATGTATGTCCGCTGTCGTTGCTCCGGTCCGGATTCCAACGTGGCTCCTCGACTGGTGTCTGGGCTCCTTCGCGTGCTGTCGTCGTGCCTCCTCTGGTGGTGGGCTTGATTATCCTCCCGTGGGGTGGGGGCTTGTGTGGGGAGTGGGCGTTGTCGTTCGTGGGTGCCTCATGTGGGGGCAAGCATCTATCGCGCCCTGGTGGGATCGGCTGAGGGGGTGGTTTGGCGGGCACTGCGTGGGTCTGGGGGGCGACTCCGTTGCTGTTATCAGTCCTTGGGCCGAAGCGCCTGCCATCAGCTAGTTGGCTCTGGATGTCGGGGTGCGGCGTGGGAGTGGTCTCGGCAGATGCGCTGTCTCTTCGCGTATAGGCGAAGGTGGTTTGCGGGCGTGGCTTGGAGTCGCTGGCTGGCAGGGGGTGGTGCCTTCCAGCGGTTGGCTCTGGGCGCGTGTGCTGCCTGAGGGGTCGGATCCGTCATCGCCGAGTTGGTGGGTGCCGAGATTGTGTCATCTGCGTTCGGGTTGGTAGTGACATTGTGATGGCGGATGGGTGGCGTCGTCTTGGGGCGGGGCTGGGGAGTGGCGTCGTTTGGAACCATGGTTGTGGCTTTTGGTTGTGCTGGATCGTCTGCCATGAGGTTGATCAGGTTGCCGATGTCCTGCGCTATCTGGTCTGTCCGCTCTGTGGGTCCTGGAGCGCGTCTCTTATTTTCGGCGATAATGGGCATTACAGGGGGGGGAGGGGCCAGGGGTGCAGGTGTGGGGGGGGAGGGGGGGCCAGGGGCTATAGTGCATGTCTCAAGCATGAAAGTTAGGTCGGGCGCGTTCCCCTACAGGCGGATTTTGGGCCAAAAATAGTCGAACAATCGTCCCCAGACCATTTCTTCACTATTTTTGAATATTCCTCCTGTAGAGGGACACGTCCGAAGAAACAATAAAGAAACACGCTCCTGGCGACCCTTGTGTCGGGATTGGCGGCGTGATGGCTGGGTGGTCGGTTGCGTGGTCCTGCGTGTGGCCGTCCTCGGGGCTCTGCGTCGTTGCCGGTGCTGCTGCCGTCCGTAGCTCGTTGGTGACCCGCACGGTGCCAACGGGATGCAACGAACGCTCGGGTGCTGTTGAAGCAGCTTGCGATCCCGGGTTGCCTTCCACGAAGTCGCAGACTGTGTCCATGGACGGTGCCCATGCTCATACCGGTGATGTTGTTCCTGATCGCGCTGAGTTGTCTCTCATGGGTGCCGCCGTCCTGGTTGTGCCTGGCCATGTGCATGTCCAGAGCCGAGGTGTCGACGTATGCTGAGCTCGCTGGTGGCGATGGTGCTCGTGTTTTAGGTGGTGGCGGTGGCTGTCTGGCACCTCGTAGTGCGAGTGGTGGGTCGCGAACGATGCTTCCCTTCTCGTCGTTGTAGAACTTCTCGCTGGTTGCCGAGATGGAAGGTTTCCAGTGAGGAAATGCTGCGGTCTCCCGATACGGATGCAGCGTGTCCGTGTTGTTTCAGAAGGCCAGGTCGTTTTCTTTCTGCAGGTTTGGTGCTGGCTACGTGATCCAGGGTACGTGCGGGGCAGTTGGTGGTTCTGGCTGTAAGGCATCCCTAGCTTGAGTCCCAGCTCCTGTAGCCGCCGTACCAGTTCTGCTTGATTCCATTTCCTGTGGTCAGGTGGAATGCCAGTGGCGGTGGGCAGGCTGGTGGCGGGGGGTCGTGATGGGTTTGTGGTTGCTGGGCGTAG